GGCCTCCCACGTGACCCTGGCCAGCCTGGGGATCGAATTTGCAACCCAGGTGTGTCTCCCTGACCAGAATCGAACCTGAGACTCTTGGGTCCTCGGGCTGACCCTCTAACTGCGGAGCCAGACCAGCCAGGGCAGCTCTTCACCGGGAACAGCGTGGGGCAGAGGGGTGCTGCTTCCTGTCTCCTGAGGCTCCACACAGCGCCACGTGGGGTCCTCGTCCAGGCCCCCCTCTCGTCCCTACTTGCTTCTCTGTTCTGGTTGGGAGGGGCACCGGGAGGTGGGTGGCCCCACCTGGGGAGAAGGTTGGCAGTAGGGGCTTGGAGACCTTGTGGGTGGTCCCTGTGGGGCCGGGGACTGAGTCATTGCCACACTTGGGAAGTTAATGACAGATGCCAGCAGCACAGCCACCGAAAGCGCCTTGGCCAGGGTACCCACAGATAGCGCCTGGGAAATGCCAGCCCTGACTCACTGGGTGGCCAACCTGGCGCGTTGTTGCACCTGCTGCTGTGTTTACGCTGTGGCTTCGGGAAGGGTACGTAGCGTGTCCCTCTGCGGTGCAGACGCCACCCGCCCCTGAGCCTCTGCGGGATCCCCTGAGGCGTGACGCATGGCCCCCGCCTGCCTCCCCTCCGCAGACACACGGAGGACGGGGAGCTCGGGCTTGCGATGAAATAAGGCTGCGAAGTTATTTTAGTCTCACGGACTAAGGGGGGCAGGTTCCGAGTGCCCTGGCCAACTTCGTACTGCTCGGGCGGAAGAGTGACTGAGTCATTCATCCCTGCGCGCGTGTCTCTTAGGGGTGTTTATTCTTTCTTTCCGCTCTGCTCACCCCACACATGTGATTGCACAGGCTTCGCTGCCGTGATTTGGTTCACCTCGGGGGCGGTCCTTCCTTCAAGGACCTGACCGTGTGACTGGAAAGGTGGACAGCATGTGGTCAGGGCTGTCCCGGGCAGGTGCACACAGGGGCGGGGCTTGTGCAGGGAGGGTGCTGGCGGGACCTCTCAGGAAGGGCTGCTCAGGAAGCTGCGTGGGACCCTTGAGCCTGGGAGCTCCTCAGGTAGGGCGGTGACAGGTGGGCCCTCCGGGTGGATGTGGGCAGAGTGGAGTTCACTCTCTTGAGGCCAGCGGGAGGGTGCTGCTGGGTGGCTGACGTAGGGAGAGAAGGTGGTCCCTGCTGCAGAGGGGGGCGCATTTGTGCAAGTCTCAGGACCGGGGTACCTGAGGCCCAGGAGGGGCGCTTCGTCAGATGGCTCTGTGACTCCGAGCCAGCCCGAGGCCACGCAGATGCCCCGCTTCCTGGGCCCCAGTGTGAGGGCTGAGCTGTGTGATCTCGAGTCTCTCCTGAGGTCTGCAGTTAGAGCGCCTCATGAGTCTCGGCCACCTCTCTTCCTTCCCCATTCTGGCCGGTGACGCCATTCCCCGTTCTTTGTACCCAGTGGGTCACCTTTGATGACCAGATGAGACCACAGATGAGAAAACGTTGACCACCAGCAATGCACAGGTTGGCGGACGAGAGACGGGGCGATGGGGCCCCGAGGGCTCTCGCTCTGTGACGGAGCAGGCCACTCCCCTCCCTGGGCCTCACCTTCTCCATTCTCTGCTGTGTGGTGAGGGTGGGGACCCGCTCAGGCCGCTGCAGGGCTCTGCGCCCACAGGAGGTGCCATTGCCTGCATACTCCGCCGGTCTCACAAGGCTAAAGAAAAACGCGATGCTCGGCCCGCTGACGTCTCCGTGTGAGTCCAGCTGTGTGGACTGGCCCCCCCGCAGACAGAACACTCTGGAAACACCATGGTGAGAGCAGACGTTGACCGTGAGAAGTGTACACACAGGCTGGGGCCGTGGGAGCATAGGGGTCCCTGAGTGGACAGTGTTGGCCCATATTTTGGATGTGAACACTGGGGGTCAGAGATGTAGCGTGGCTGTGCCTGGCCCCATCCAGGGGTGAGCCCGGGGCAGTTGAGATGCCGTCACAGCGGATGGGAGCCTGCTCTTGGGTGACCCTTCCTCCTCTCATGAAGAAACCATAGTCTTCATCCTCGGTGAGGTCATTTTCCTTGAGCACAGATTCTCCCCGCAATGATTCGGCAGAGAACTGGAGTTATCCGCCTCGGTAGATTGGCTGCCGGGCCTCAGCCCTCAGGCCTGGGGTGGGGAGAAGGCGGCTCCAGGGCCCTGAGGGGTTCCTGCGGCTTCTCTTAGACCTGCACAGGCAGAGCCTCCTGAGGCTGGCGCTCTGGGGCCAGGGGTGAACTGCCCGGGATGCGCCGGCGGCTGCCCTGTCCTCAGGACCTGCCCGGGAACCTGCCCGGGAGCTTGAGCAGGTCCTTTCCTGGACCTGCCGTGCACCCTGCTGTCACCCTGCTGTGTCATCTTTGAGCCTGTTAACTCTGCGCCCTTTTCCTGAAGCAAAAGCTGACATGTGCGGAGACCAACACACTGCTTCCCTTTCATCTTTCAAGGGCCACACACTGAAGACTGACGGTTTAAAAGAAAAAAAAAAAAGGCATTTTACAGGGAAACACGTTTGCAAAAGGATTGGATGCCAAGCAGCATCTCACGAAGGTCTGGGATCGCGGTATTTCTCCAAAATAGTTCTTAATATTTTTAACAAATCTCCTCAGAGGCCACCAAAGATGTTCTGAAACATTTTTAAGAATGTAAATGAGCCCTGGCCAGTTTGGCTCAGCGGTTAGAGCATCGGCCTGCGGTCCGGAGAGACCGGGGTTCGGTTCCCGCTAAGGGCATGTACTCATGTACTCGGTTGCAGTTTGTCCCCGGCCCTGATTGGTCGTGCGGGTGGCAGCCACTCAGCCACTCGATGTGTCCCTTCACGTCGATGTTTCTCTTTCTCTCTCCCTTCCTCTCTCTCCCTCCCACTCTATCTGTACAAAAAATGGAAAAATATCCTCGGATGAGGATAAAAAAAAAAAAAAAAGAATGTAAATGACCAATTCAACATTTTAGAAACATTGCAGTGAAAAGTACAGATGATTTTCCAATGTGCGTGGACAGGGAGTCCAGGCCCCCAGAACTGTGGAAACTCCCACGCGAAGGGGAGAAGCCCAACACTTTGGGGTCTGGAACCCAGGAGGGGCCCTTTGAGTCTCTGCCGACAGCGTTGGAGGCAGAAATACAAACAGTAACTGCTACCAGGGACGCTGAGACTCACGCCGCTCCTGCAGTGGTCGTCAGCAGTTCCCGCGTCCCGGACCGCGTTCTCCCCACACGTGCGAGGCCTGGGGTCCTCAGCAGGTCCTGTGGGAAGAACTAAGGGCAGTTGGTTCAGGCTCAGCTATGCCCTGGGAGGGACGGTAGGGCCTTGGGCCCGGAGGGCTTTAGTTGCCGGCCCTCCATCTGCCTTTTACTGGAAATGGCTTGAAGGGGAAGTCCAGAGGCGGTTCAGACTTTGCCAGGTGGGTCCCAGGCGCACCTCCCTGGCGCCCCCACTGGGGAGGTGGGTTATCGACACGTTTCGGGAGTCAGGCCCTTGCAGCTTGCAGTCGCCCCTTGCAGGATTCGTCGAGGTCAGGGTGTTGGGACTCTGCATCTTCAGAAGACCTTTCTCTGGGTGCCCTGGCCAGAGCTGAGGGTGAGGAGGGCCATGAGTCCCTGGGCTTTCTTCCTGGCGCTGGCCCAGCATGACCCCAGGAGCTGCAGCGAGGCTGGGCTTCGACCCCCAGTGATGGTGGTCTGGGCCCTGAGTTGTCTTGGGGGCAGAGAGAAGATGGGCTTGGAAGGTGACCTCAGCACCACCCACTCCTTGCCAGCTAGGAGAGAGGGTGGGTCTCCTCTTACCACCCTCCCCGCTCCCTCACGCGTCTCCCCTCCAAAATCACGCCAGCTCCTACGACTGAACGAGACCCTCCTGTCCCACGGGGGTCCCCCCTGGGTAGCTCATTTCCTTCTCATTATGCATGGTGGTAAGCCGAGGCCCGGAGAAAGTGAGGAGACTTACCAAGGTACACATGCCACCGGAACATTCTAGAGCGGCTCCAGGTTCGAGCCTTTCCCGTTCTATTTCTAATCTGCAATATGGGGCAGGAAAGAACGTTCATCACACAAAAACATTTCGTGGACAGAATCGGGCACGCTCGCGCACTACTTCACGCAGCACCGAGACGTGCAGCCGGCGCTGTGAGACCCGCTTCTTTGCCTTCCTCCCAGTCGCTGGTACCCAGAGGACGCCATCCCCTTGGGAATCCAGTCTCGAGTCTTCCTCCGGGCTTGCTTCTCACCCTAGACTTGGGGGACTCTGATATTGCACCTCCCCGTTTTCCTAGCAGCCCCGTGTCTCCTGGTGTGGAAGACGGACGGCCCGCTGCGGAGGGCTCCGCCCCTGCGTGGTGACAGCCCCACTCCCTCTGCTTCCGTGCTCCACAGAGGACACGCGTGTGCTGGCCTCCCCGGCACTGAGCTCTCGGAGACTGTACTTACACTGACGATGATGAAGCGTGTGTTTGGTCATTATTAATCCCTCTACATGGTCCCTACCATTTCCCGAGCATTTGCCGCGTGTCGGGAACTGTGCAGAGTGCCCGTGGGGCGTGCTCATTTAGTATTCCTGTCACAGCCGGGGAAGGCGAGAGTGGGAGAGGGTCAGTGACCTGCTGGGGTCACATGGGCAGACAGCGGAAGGGCTGGCTCCGCTGGCCATGGAGGTGCTCATGGCTGGGGTGCTGTGGCCTCCATGGTCCCGACAGAGAGGGGAGGGCTGCAGAGACGCCCCGCTTTGGAAGGAGGGTGCTGGGTCCGAGTCCTGGTCCTCCAGGTGTGAGCGGCGTGACACCGAGTCACCTCATCTCTGTCGTCCCTGTGAAGGGAACGGTGATGAGGGACGGCATCCGGTGGCCCATCGTGGTCCTGTGCGCCGGGCATGCTCACGCACCTGCCTCCGCGAAGTGTGCTGTTCGAGACGCACCGCCGCCCCGTGTTCTGCTGACGTGACCCCAAGCTGTTCATTTCTCTCTTGTTTTTCAGGTGATGAACCAACAAAATCATGTCTGAAGTACAAGGAACGGTTGAGTTTTCTGTAGAGCTTCATAAATTCTATAATGTGGATCTTTTTCAGAGAGGGTGAGTATGATTCTCTGGTTGCAGTGTGTGTGCGGTCACGCTCCTTTCTCCTGGCAGGGGCTGGGGCAGCCACGGCAGGTGGTAGGACGTTTTGGATAAATGACAAAGGGGTTTTTGTAATTTTTCCTGCCAAGTGGAAAACCAAACCGTTAGTCCATTTAAAAAGAAACCACGTGTTGAGAGACTAGAAAATGCCAATTTCTCTCCTTGTCCTGCACTTTCTCCTTCCTCCTCTCTTCGTAGCCAGTCTTCCCCGGAGTGGTCAGTCCGTGTTGACAGCAGGTGACGTCACTGGAAAGGAAGCTTGTGTATTCTGATCAAATGTGTTTGTGTGCTCGGTACTTGAAGGCGTATCTTTCTAAACCACACATCACAAAACCTGGTCTAACTCTCTCAAAATCGGAGAATCGACTGTGTCCTCCTTAAATCCGTAACGAAAACGTAGTGGCTTCCGGTTTTGGGGGACATGGTGTGACTTTGCCTCTTCCACGCAGGACCTCAGTACGTCCTCAGGGTGGACTTACCTCTCAGGGCCCTTGCAGACAGCAGTGGTGTGGAAGGTTGTAGACAGCATCGAAACAGAGACCAGAAGTCCGTGTCCTCCGTGTCTGCGGTCCTTCCCCATGACACAGCCAGGACACCTAAGTTCACAGAAACAGCGCGAGGTGTAGGCGCACGGACCGAGCAGAACGACGGGTCCCCGGCGGCTGGTTTTCACTGTGTAACAGATGACTCCAAACCTCAGCGGCTTAAAGCCACTTTGGATTTAGCTCCTGACTCAGTACAGGCAGGCAGAGCTGGGCTCAGCCTGGCGGTTCAGCTGGGCGGGACCAGGCTTGGCTGGTCTCAGCTGGACACACTGGGCTCCGGGGCTGTCTGCAGGGAGGCGGTGGCTCCCTCTGGGCCTCCCGCCCTCCCGCTGGCCGGCCTGGCTTGTTTACATGCAGCTGGGGACCCCGGGCAAGCGTGGAAACGCCCAAGGGCTCTGTAGTCCAGCGTCACAACCTACACGAGGTGTTTCCACTGCCCCCTGTGGGCCGAAGCAGGTTTGAGGACAGGCTGGATGCAGGCGGGAAATGCACACGTCTCCTGACGGAAGAGGAGGGATCGGTACACATGCTACACAGCCTGCCACTTCCGGTTTCCAGGGAGTAGCTCTGAAATCGACGCCTCCAGGGCCTCTTGCATGTCACGGTGCTTTTTACAGACGCTGGAGCTCGGGGGGCTGTCCTGGTGGGTGACCTGGGTTAACAGGGCATGGTTCTGGGACCAGCTCTGTGTTCCAGGGAGAGGTGCACCTTAGGGTCCTGGAGCTGGATTCTGATGAAGCAAAGCTCTGTGTACCCTCGGGAAGCCCCCGCCCCTCGGTCCGGCCCTTGTCGCTTTCTCAGAAGCCGGTTGGTGTCGTGAGAAGAGCCTGGACTTGGGGCCGGGCCTCCTGAGTCCTGGCTTGACGACTGCTTCTTGGAGCTCCCCCGTCATCTTGGTCCCCTCTGCTCCCAGGATTCTCATTTACAGGAAAAGGAAGCCTTGATGGTGTGATAGTATTAGACACGTTCTAGTCAATATCTCCTGAAGCTTTGTCACCAGCCCTACAAATAAGAGGTGTTTTGCTAGACAGGTAACCTGGGACCAGGGCAGGAAGCAGAGCCCAGCTCTGAAGGGGTGCCGGGTCTGGGGCCAGACTTTCCCGCTCGGAATTCTGTATTGTTTTCTGTGATGTGCGGCTGGCCTCTGACATGGGCTGTGTTCTCCCTGGGGGTGCACAGTGTGTCCATCAGGATGTGGGGAGATAAGACTAAAACTTCGGTTTACCATTGTTTTAAACAAAAATAACAGAGAAATCCAGCTTCATTAAAAATCAGAATCCAGATCGACCCGGGAAGCCTCGTTGTGTCCATATGGTTCACAGTCATGAGTTCCGCTCAGTGACTCAGACACAAACGAAGGCGGGTGGCCCACCGCTCCAGTGCGTTGACAGCATCACCCGCACATGGCAATAGATGGCCGTTGGCATCTGACCATCCATCAGTTGTTTTCTCGAGTTAACTCCACCAGCCCTCATAGGGGAGCAAATGGCTAAAACAAACCCAAATACTGTAAGGGCATGATCGTGAATGAAAGGTCATGCTGATAAAGAAAGGACAGAAAACTCTAGGAAATGACAGAGCCCCCGACACTCCCTTGTCCAAGCCTGTGGATGACACTGGGCTGACCTGACAAGTTCATCAGATCCAAAAATAAGTCGACTGAGCCATTTGAATTTATTAAAACATTGATAGATGGATTTATAGCCATAATTACTCAAAGCACACCTCATCCTAACGGAGCATTGGGCCTGCGGGTATTGACTAGGGCTTGTATGAAATCATCACACTGGCCAGAGGTTTCAAATGACTTGTCCAAAACACCAAGAGGCCCCTGTGCAGCCAGTAAAGGGGGTTGGAAGAAAACCACGGAGCTATGGCTTACTCGGAAGCCTACGACACGGTTCTTTCTAGATCTGTGTGGTTTGGGGAGGCACCTGATAGAGCGAGGCTCAGCACTGCGATCGGATATTGAATCAGGCTGCATTAAAGCCAGAAGTTTGAATCACTCATAGATATCTATGAACAAGAACGTTATGCGTCCCATCAAAACATAAAATAATTAATTTTGAAAACAGGGTTATTGCATTTATCTGTTCAAAGACCTTTTCCTATGTTTCTAATGCATAGTGCACATGAATGGACTTGTACGTGCACATGATTTACAGAGAAATGTGTATGTATCGAGGCTGTACACTCAGAAACGTTCTTACTGGTAAACGTGCAAACTGTTGTGAACAGTTGGTGGCCACTGGTCCATCTAGGAGAACAGGAGGACTCTCACAAATGTCTTCTCGATCTTAATACTGGCGTTTCATGGTGTCCAGGGGTATGGACATTCAAGGACATTATTTCGATGTGGATGAGGGCATACTCTCCCCATCACCACGCTTGAGGGTGGGAGTCACAGCACACGTCCTTAAACAGGCCAGTAAATCTTTTGGAGGAAGGCAGTTAGACATCTCAGGGGGATGGAGCGAGTGCTAGGTTCTCTAAGGACCTGTCCGCAATAAGACCGCGAGGTCAGCAGTCCTCAATCCCCCGGGTCCTAGTAGAGGGAGCTGTGGACAGGCTGGGCATGACGCCAGCCAGGATTCTGCATCTGTCAGGGGAGGTGATCCCTGATGGCTAAGTGTTCAGGAATTTTATGCTCTGAATCCCTCAGGACCCATGCGTATGGTGAAATGTAATTACTTTGCCCAGTGAGCACTCCATGGAGAAGTGATGGCTGCAGTCCAGGCCTAGTGGTTGAGGGGAGGGGGGGTCTGGGTGAAAGAAACGGGATGGTCTGCTGATGGCATTACACAGACGGAAGGAAGGAGCTGAGGGAGCTGGCTCATGTGGGGGTTATGAGGATGCATGATTACATATGTTCTCCATAGGACCCTTGGGTGGTAGACATTAGAGTTGGGGATTGCGAAAGAAGGAGAGTCCCCTTCCGCAGACTGAGTTTGACTGTGGCCATCCACGGGCCACCTAGTTTCTCCAGTTGATGAGAAATGTCCCACCTCATTATTACCCAGTCCTGCCAGACAGGTGCTTCCCCGTGATGTGTTGCAAGACGCTTTGTTGGAACCACATGGACACAGAACTCAGCGTTTTGCATGAGAATTTGCCTGATCAGGGAGTGTCATGCTTCTGACACGTTTATATTTGTGGATGGTCTTTCTAGCCCCACACTAGATGTTTGTAATGATGTTTGCTTTGACCAAACAATCAACCTGCATTTATCCAAAGTCCATGTTGACTGAGGCAGATTCTCAAAGGAAAAGCATCTCTTCAAACCAGTCAACGAGCATCCTGAATTGTCACCCTTGTGCTTGGCAGTCAGGCTCATCCTGACAGCAGGCAGGGGCAGCAGGGCACTGGGGAGCCTGGCGTGGGGCTCAGACCTGCCTTTGAAGCCAGGCTCTGCCACTGATAAGCTCTGAGAATGTGAGGACATCTCTTTGAAGCATTCAGAGCTACCATTTTCTCACCTGTGACATGATGTGGACAAAGTTTATCTAAAGGGGCTGTGGCAGGAAGTGCATCAATTAATAGATGCAGAACAGGGGGCATGGTGCCTGGTCCCTGGTAGAAGCCATCCCAATGGTCACTACTGCACCCACTCCTCAGCCCAGTGCTCAGTGCCTGAGTGTTTGACCTCAAACTTCTACCTTGCTGTCTGTGCTCAGACCATTCGCGTCCCTCCTCCTCCTAATATCTTCTGGAAAAACTCTACCCTGTGCAACACCTAGCTCCAAGATAAACTTCTCTTGGGACCTTTCCTGTATGTTGATATTTACTTACTGTATTAAGCCCAGTTTTTATGAATCCCTCTTTTCCCTGTTTCTGAAACCTATCTTATGTGTGTGATTCTGTCACTTACTCACACATCCATTACTATAAACACCAATATGTGTTATATTCAGCTCTATAACCACGGCAATGGAGGACAGACTGCCCTGAAAGTGTTTACCAGCCGATAAAGAGACAGACACCTCTATAGAAAAGGACCCTGATGTGCAGTGTATTCTGTAACAAGGATGGGTTTGGGGTAGTATGAGGAGAAACAGATGAGGGAGATCCAGTCTGTGGGCAGAGTCAGAGACGGTGTCCTGGGAGGAGACAACATCCGAGCTGTCACTCGTCACGTGATGGGCGGGACTTATCCCTGCAGAGGACTGGAAACAGGTGCAGAGCAGGATGCTCAGTGATGTCAGGAAGCAGAGACCACCTGAAAGAGGAAGATGAGGCGAAGCATTCAGACGGGGAGTGGATGGAGCTAGAGGACTATAGCCATCACCCAGCCTGGCTTTATTAGACTCATGATTATAGGGAAGTCAGGGACCCAGAGCAGTTCTTTCGTAATGGGCTTGCACCATTTCCTCTTCCCCAATGGGAGAGTGGATCTTAGCTCCCTCTGCACAC